TATATATATATATATATATATATTTAAATATGTAATTAAGATATATAAAAAGATATATTTAAATATGTAATGTATATATTTAATCACCAAAAGATAGTATATATTTAAATTATTTTATTTTGACAATAATTATTTTTTGAATAAATCTTTTAAATTAAAAGTCGATTAATTTTTAAAAATGAATATATCCTCCTTTACCAATAAATAAATAATATATCCTAAACATGCAGTATATCGATAGGTTCGATACAAACACAAATCATATCAAAATTCGTAGCTCATGCACAGTGAATTAATTAGAAATATGATTTGAATGGTTTTTAAGGTAATTGTTTTAATTAATAATGGACGTGCAAATAAAAAAGTGTCTTGAAGCATAGAGATATTTAAATAAGATATATTCAACAAAATAAATTCGATATTAATAACACAAAAATTAAATATATCTATTACGTTAAGAAAAAAAATAATATTATAAAAAAATTAATAATAAAATTTTAAAAAATAAAAAAAATTACAAATATAAGAATTATATTTAAAATAAAATAAATTAAAATAAAATTTAAAAATAAATATAAAAACTAAAATAACCTATTTTAAATGATGGATAATAAAATGTAAAATAACTGTAACCACATGAACAAAAAAAATATTTTAAATTTATTACTAAAGTGTACATGTTGGATTAGCCATGAAAATCGTTGGTGGAATCAGTTCTTACTAGTTGGATTCGAAGTATTGTTATGTTGTTTGTTGGATTGAGGTAGAATCATGAATGAATGGTTGTAACTTGCATACAGTTACAAATACATACGTTGTTATGTTGAACTGGTGAGTAAGGTGACATGTTCTCCATGTTATGTTTGCCTTTTTCACTTGCAACTTTCTCTTGGTTCCCCAAGAGAATGATTTCTAACTCTCCTGCTACTACTGTTAAGTGTTCTTCACACTTTTTTGGAGAATCTCCAATCTCTTTGCTTGAAAGGTGCAAGTCCACGTACCAACTAAAGCAAATTCACTCCCACGCCATCAAAATGGGTCTCTCTTCAGACCCTTTATTTCAAAATAGAGTTATAGCCTTTTGTTGTGCCCACGAATCAGGAAATATGGACTATGCCCGTCAGATGTTTGACACAATCCCGCACCCAAGTGTGTTCATTTGGAATACCATGATGAAGGGGTATTCTAGGATCAACCGTCCTGAGAATGGAGTTTCTATGTATCTAATAATGCTGGCTAATAACATCAACCCTGACCGTTTTACGTTTCCTTTCTTGTTGAAGGGATTTACCAGTGATATGGCTTTGCAGCACGGGAAAGTCTTACTAAACCATGCAGTGAAGCTTGGATTTGATTCTAATATGTTTGTTCAAAAGGCCTTCATACATATGTTCTCCTTGTGCGGGCTTGTGGATTTGGCTCACAAGGTTTTTGATATGGGTGATGCATGGGAAGTAGTTACCTGGAATATAATGCTATCTGGGTATCACAGAGTTAAGCAATTTAAGAAATCAAATAAACTTTTTATGGAGATGGAGAAGAGAGGAGTGTCGCCCAATTCAGTTACTCTAGTTTTGATGCTTTCTGCATGCTCCAAATTGAAGGATTTAGATGGGGGCAAGCACATTTATAGGTATATCAAAGAAGGTATTGTTGAACCTAATCTCATATTGGAAAATGCTTTGATTGATATGTTTGCAGCTTGTGGAGAAATGGATGCTGCACAAGGTATTTTTCACAATATGAAGACTCGAGATGTGATTTCTTGGACTTCCATTGTTTCTGGGTTTGCCAATATTGGTCAAATTGATTTAGCTCGCAAGTACTTTGATCAAATGCCTGAAAGAGATTATGTTTCCTGGACTGCTATGATTGATGGTTACCTTAGAATGAACCGTTTCGTAGAGGCTTTGGCACTTTTCCGTGAGATGCAAATGTCAAATGTGAAACCTGATGAGTTCACCATGGTTAGCATTCTAACAGCATGTGCACATTTGGGAGCACTTGAACTAGGGGAGTGGGTAAAGACATACATTGACAAAAATAGTATTAAGAATGATACTTTTGTTGGGAATGCTCTAATAGACATGTACTTTAAATGTGGGAATGTTGGGAAAGCAAAAAAAGTATTCAAGGAAATGCATCTGAAGGACAAATTCACCTGGACAGCAATGATAGTTGGCCTTGCCATTAATGGCCACGGTGAAGAAGCTCTTGCCATGTTTTCAAATATGATAGAAGCTTCAGTTGCACCAGATGAGATAACCTATATCGGTGTCCTTTGTGCTTGCACACACGCAGGTATGGTAGAGAAAGGGAAAAGTTTTTTCACTAGCATGACCATCCAACATGGAATTAAGCCTAATGTGACACATTACGGATGCATGGTTGATCTCCTTGGTCGAGCTGGGCGTTTAGAAGAAGCCCTTGAAGTCATTGTGAATATGCCTGTGAAACCAAATTCAATTGTTTGGGGATCACTTCTAGGTGCTTGTAGAGTCCACAAAAATGTGCAACTAGCAGAAATGGCAGCTAAACAAATTCTTGAGTTAGAGCCTGAAAATGGGGCTGTCTATGTCTTGTTATGTAATATATATGCTGCCTGCAAGAGATGGGAAAACTTGCGTGAGGTTAGGAAAATGATGATGGAGAAGGGAATTAAGAAAACACCAGGTTGCAGTTTGATGGAATTGAATGGCAATGTTTATGAATTTGTTGCCGGGGACCAGTCACATCCTCAATCTAAAGAGATATATGCGAAGTTAGAAAACATGATGCAAGACTTGATAAAAGCAGGGTATTCTCCTGATACATCAGAGGTTTTCCTTGATCTAGGGGAAGAGGATAAGGAGACTTCACTTTACAGGCACAGTGAGAAGTTGGCTATTGCCTACGCCCTTATTTGTTCAGGGCCTGGAGTAACCATAAGAATAGTGAAGAACCTTAGAATGTGTGTGGACTGTCACCATATGGCAAAGCTGGTGTCAAAAGCTTACAATAGGGAACTAATAGTTAGGGATAAAACCAGATTCCATCATTTCAGGCATGGTTCATGTTCATGTAATAACTTCTGGTAGACAATTTTAACGAATAAGAAGATATAGATAAGTAGCTAAAAACCTACAATTAGCAAAGTTCTAACTAAACATTGAAATGTATATTTTATATTTCTGTGCTTAGGTAAGTCATATGTCAATTAAGATCTTCATTCAATCATTATAGAAACTAGACATTGACCCACTTATTTTGTGGGAATACAAACTAGAAAGAATAAATATTTCTATTCAAAATAAGAATTTTAAATTAAAAATAATTACGTTATGTAGTATTATGGGTACCTAAATCATATAACATTTTCTTTTGAAAGAAAGAAATGTTTCACACCTTATTTCAAATTAAAAGAAATATTTCATTTTTATCCATTCAAACAATTGTAATAAAATGAAATCTACTCTTCGTATTAATTCCTCTGCGCACCCCAGCATAGAGTAAAATTTTCTAAGACTTCCTAATCCATTTTATAGACGTAGAATTGTGGAGCAGAGAGAGCCATATTTTTCAATTAAATTATTAAAAAATGACGGAGACAAGATACTAGTTACACTATATGCCACATCTTAGGTGGAAAAATATGAGGACTACATTGAAGTGGGGACATCAACCGCAATTTATGAAGCAATAAAAAAATAGAAAAACAAAAGGCAAAAAAAAAGTGGCTAGATTTGTTGGTTATGTTCAGCTTGAACCGTTGAAGCTTTTTCTTTGGTTTGCAAAAATTCCAAGTCACCTCTGCCACTGATCACATACCCAACAATGGTCTTTTCTGTTATGTTCTCTCCCTCTCTCAACCTTGCCATTTCTTCCACCACATACTGTTGCAGAAAAAGAAGAACATCATCAACCACAAGCAGAGTTACAGTGAGAGCTAGCTCCACAGAGAAGGGTGAATCCAAAGACAAAGATGCCCCAGAATTCAACCCTTTTGGGTTTGTCACTGACAACCCTTCTAGCCGCAGTGCTATTCAATTACCTGAAAGCCCTGCTGAGGATGGCAACGTTGGCCAAATGCTATATGTACTTATCTCTCTTTCCTCCTTCTACTTTACTTCCTTTGAGTCTTCGTATTGAAGATTTTATGTTGTTTTTGCATGACATCACATGAGTTGATGCTTCTATTACTATATATGTTTGATTGAATAGTGACGATACTATTTATTTATTATGTGGGACAGTAGTAATAGTTTTTGTGTTGCTAGAGGATAGAAGACAAGGGCAAGGAATACGGGTCATACGTTAAATCTGGCAAGTTAAGATGGTTTGTGAGAGAAACAGGTAATATTTATTTCTTTGCTGAGGAATCAGGAATTGCTTTCTAGTTTTCATTTTTCAAGTTTAAGAAATGGTTGGAAAATACATGCTTTTGATTGTTTTTTCTTGTTCTATTTTTACAGGATCAGCAGATAGCAGAAGAGGAACAATTGTGTTTCTTCATGGGGCCCCAACGCAATCTTTTAGTTACCGAGTTGTTATGTCTCAGGTTACCATGCTATCTATGTGATATATACCTTATATTTTGTACACAACTTTAATAATGATAAACAGAAAAGTGAAAAAGGCATACCTAATCTCAACATGATTTTCTAATGTATAAGTTAATTTGTAAAAGTTCTCCCATTTAAATTTTCTAAAAGTTAATTTTAATTCATGTATAATTTAATTTTAACTTATGGGAGAAGCTTAATTCATTTTATCTTCTTATTTTCTTCTCTTATAAGTATTTATTTAGAAGTTTTTCCAAACGCACTTGTGTGTTTGAATGAGGAATTTATATAGGGTAATTCATTTATTTGAAGAATTTCAAATTCCTTGAGGTGAAATGCTTTGTTTGGATGGAGAATTTACAAAGAATTTGAAATTCAAGCATTTGTGAAATTCCTTAAAATAGTATAATTTCAAATTCTCTCAAAAGTGGGAGAATTTGAAATTCCTCATATTTATTTTTCTTATTTCACCTATATATTTTATCTTATCTTTTCATTCTTTTAATTATTGGATATGTAAAAATATTTTTAAAATTATTAAATATTATCTTATATTAATTTTTAAAATTATTAAATATTATCTAATATTAATTTTTAAAATTATTAAATATTTAAAAATGGATTAATATTTATTTTTATAAAATTTAATTTAAAAATTTCAACATATAAATATATTTTTAAAATCAATTTTACTATGATAGAATTAAATTATCATATTCAACTTAATAATTTAAAATTTAAGAAATTTGAATTGACTCATCCAAACAAAATATTTTAAGAATGATAGAAATTGAAATCAAAGTAATTCAAATACTAAGAATTTTAAATTTCTTGAATTTGTAAAATTCTTTATCCAAACACACTATAAATGATTTTGACTATCGCCAAAATCCTTAAACTCATGAGTAGCCAATAATGATATTCTGTTAATGCTAACTAGAACGCCTACCTATCTGCTTAAGTAACTCATACAATATTAGAAGTATTTATTTTTCACTTCTTTCTTCAGATCATCATGTTTCTCTAATGGATGTTTTAACAGTCTTTGTTCTGGCTTTTATATTGTCGCTTTACCTCCATTACGTGTTTTCAGCGTCTTATGATTAATACTATTTAAATTTTGTTCTTATTTATTTTAATTTCTTCCTCTTAAACAGTTGTCGGATGCGGGGTTCCATTGCTTTGCACCAGACTGGATAGGATTTGGTTTCAGTGATAAACCACAGCCAGGATATGGTTTTAATTACACAGGTTTCATAATAAAAACATCTTATATAATGAAGAATTTTCCCTGCAGTAACCTCATTCTTAAAAATGTTTTTTTTTTTCTTTTTCAATTCTCTCAGAAAAGGAGTTCCATGATGCATTGGATAAACTGCTTGAGGTGTTGGGGGTCAAATCTCCCTTTTTCCTTGTTGTTCAGGTACCTAAAGAGGAATAATACAATCAGCTGTTAGTAGAATCTCTTGCATTAAAAAATTTCAGTGAAACAATTGGAAGTAATACATTTACTATGCAACACTGGGATGCATCTCTTAGAAACAAATATATATTCTAGTTGAATTTAAGTTTTATAAACTCCTTACTAAATAGTGTCTAACATATAGTCACACTTTTCCTAAAGGGATTTCTTGTAGGTTCATATGGACTAACTTGGGCCCTGAAGAACTCAAGCAAGATATCAAAGCTAGCAATACTAAACAGTCCATTAACTGATTCATCTCTCATTCCTGGACTTTTTCAGAAGCTCAGGTTTCCATCTTACAGTACCAATGAATGCATAGCCAAACTTCTAGGCAAAATCTATACTATAGTTTTCTAGATTTATCTCTTGATTTCAGTCACTTGAGGGCTATGGACAAGCACTGTTTTCACTTTCAACATAGATTGTAAATGACATAATTTTTTAAGGTCATAACATGGGTCTGGTAACTGAATATTTCTTCAACTAAAGAACACCCTCGTTCCTATTCTATTGAAATTGACTATATGACTCCTAAAATGATGGAGAGTGATGAATAGTTTCTTTGTTGCAACTTGCAATTCTATGTAGATCTATCACCTTTTGCCACTCCTCTGGAATCATGTACTATTTTGTACTTATTGACTAGAGTCACAAAACTTTGCGCATTTTGAAAATTTTAGATTAGTCTATGTCACTGCATAATTGCTCTTCAGAAATATGACCTATCCCTGCCCATACGAGGCTCCTGAAGGATTTTGATGTCATCATATTTCTGATGGATGATGCGTCACCAATGGGAGTGTGATACTTTAGGAGTTAAGGGAATAAGTCATATTTTGAAAAATTATAAGAATGTTCTGTGACAATTTTTTATCTATATTTGTTGTAGATAAATGAAGTGTGGCCTGGTCATGCATTAACTATATTAATGCTGCTTAATTTTAGCTATGATTTCTCCATGTCACAGCACAACTTAATTTACTGCTGCTTTTGTTTTATGCAACATGTTGCCTGTTTGATCTTGATTCTTAAAACTATATTAACTCCTTTGGTGCTTTTTCTTTCTTTCTAGAATTCCTCTGTATGGTGAATTTACATGCCAGAATGCTATTATTGCTGAGCGGTTTATTGAAGGAGGTAGCCCGTATGTATCCAAAAATTGTACATGACTATTGGCCGGTAATTTTATAAATTGAAGTTGAAACCTGCAACTTAATGTCATTTTCAAACACTCAAAATATCTTGCATAATTTTGCACAGATTGAAGCAACCAATTTAATTAGCTTAGGAGTATAACTAACAATTTTGCATATCTGTCTAGCCCTTCATATGACTTAATTGTAAATACGTGGCTCCTATACTGAAAACCAAGGAAAGTTCATTCTAGGTTTTGGCACCACATCAAGTAATGAGGGTTAGACTTTTCACAAGTGATAAACGCATCTTGATCCTTCATTTAATGCACTGCCCAAAGACTTGGAAATGATATTGTAATTTTAGTGCATGGAGCATATAACATACACAGTCATTGTTGTTTTGAATAACCCACTGGAGTAAACAATTTTTTTGTTAAAGCATTAAAATATGAATTAAGGATATAATTACTTCTTCAAACTATAATTTTATGAGGTGCTTGCTCTTATAGCTGCATTATTTTGCAGTTACGTTCTGAAAAATGAAAAAGCTGACGTGTACCGGTTACCTTATTTGTCAAGCGGTGGACCTGGATTTGGTTAGTAGCATCCTTATATATATATATGTGTGTGTGTCTGTGTTATATGGAAATAGTTACGAAAAATTACTTGATGTCAACGAAAAATTATTATACTAGAAAATCCATGGTTTATTCACTACAAATTTATGTAATGAACACGAGTAAAACTAATTTTGCTGCCTTAGTGTTAGTAAATAATAAAGTTTCTGATGTTGGTTTTCAGCTCTACTTGAAGCTGCAAGAAAAGCAAACTTCAAAGGTACTTTCAGTGAAATAGCAGAAGGATTTGCAACTCAGAGGTATATCTATTGAATTTGAGCACTCAAGAATTCATGCTTTTCTATTATTATTATTTTTGGAAAGTATAAGTTATTCTTGATAGAGAAGGCTGGGGAACACATCTAAATGGCAGTAGTAACCCTGCCCCTCGCACAAGAATAAAGTTTACTGTTTGGCAGTTACATGTTGGGAAATCGGAATATTTTAATCTGACATATATAGTATATGGTATACAGTATACTTTATTAATTTAGCTCCTCTGAATTTAGTAAAGGTAAAATAAGTAATCTTAGTCATTGATAAGAAAATCAATTTCGACATATTCATGATTTATTGTGCATGTGCATGTAATATAAACGATTGCGACTATTTACTAAACTTTCTAGAATGAGTTGCTCACTTTAGAAGAGCATGATCCATACACTACACTACTCATTTTGAATATTTGACTTAACTCAATTTTAATGACACAGATAACTAATAAACCCTTTTACTAGATAATGGTTGCAGAAGCATAGGGTCTGTTTACTTCTGTTTTTATTTCCTGTTTTCATTCTTAATTTACAAATCTGTCATCTTATTTTCAGCATGTTTCTTATTCTCAAAGTTTTGTACAAGAAACATAAAAAACTAAAAAGTTGTTTTCACTATTTCGTGTACAAATCTTTGGAATAGAAACAGATTGAAAATTGAAAATAAAAACAACTTGCTCTTCCCTGTATTTTTTCTTTTAAATCTGATTCAAGAACAAGTTTTGCTTTAAATATTTGATATTTATGCTGTCTTGTGGTTACTAACTTCAACAAAAAACATAGCCTTACTTGTCAATGCTTTGCAGATATGGATTTTGATTAGTAGAGATATGCAATGAATTAAGTGTTCAATGTCCAACTCGAATTCGTGGGAAGGGGATGTAATAATAATACACGCATAACAATTCATACAATAATTTGTAAAATTAAAAGAGTAATAATACACGCATAACAATTCGTACAATAATTTGTACACCATCAATTTTTTCTCTCCGTCACATCATTTATTGTATTTTAAATTTCTCTCTCTCTCTTAATTGAACAAATTGTTATACTTGTATCATTTCTCAAATAAAAAAAATCCCACCACCCTGAACCTATAGGCTATGATGATAACTAGGTTTTGCAATTGTATTACAGATGGGATAAACCAATACTACTTGCTTGGGGATTATCAGACAAGTACTTGCCCCAGTCTGTGGCAGAGCAGTTTCAGAAAGGAAATCCAGCACACATCCAGCTTAAATTGATTGAAGGAGCAGGTCACATGCCACAAGAGGACTGGTAAGTAACTTTAACATAGGATTCCACTGAAAGTGAAATGTTTTATTCAACCTCTTAACAACAAACCCTTTGTATTTTTGACAGGCCTGAGAAAGTTGTTGATGCTTTGAGAATGTTCTTCTGATTTCAACAACTAACTGACCCTGCAATCATCCAAGTGCTTATTTGATTGGAAGGCCATTTCTGATTTTTTCCTTAAATTGTAAATTTATAGTGCCTTAATAAAATTATAACTTACTTGAAATGAATTTGTGCTCCATTTCCTAATAGAAAATTAACTATTGTCTTTTATTCCTTTAAAAAAAATGACAAAATGTAGAGACACACAAGTTTTGAAAAATTGTAGAGGATGCCAATCTTTTCTTTCAATTGGGATGAAAAGTAATGCTTGTGCCAATCAAACCAAACATTCTACAATCGATTTCTACACCTTAGCAATACGAGTATTTGTGGGATGTGTTGACAAATTTACTGTGTCTCTACTTGACTTGAAATTTTATTAAACACATTTATTTGAATTCCAACTTATTTTGATTAAGACCTGAAATCATATAAGACAAGATCGATCAACCCAATTCATTAACATAATTAACAAAATATATCAATTTTAATACTAATTATATTTTAACTTGAACCCATGATAAACACTGCTTTAACAAACCAAGATTCTAAAAAATATGTAATAATATAATTATTTTTTGGCAAATGAATATGATCGGTAGAATATTTTAAAGTTGACAATCAAAAATTAATCTATATTTATAAAACATAATTTTTATTGATCAAATATTATTTTAATACTAACAATCTTGAAAGCACAAACTTGATCTTGGAGAAAAAAATGTAGAAATATATAGCCAAGACTGCAATCTCTATTTTCATCAAAGAATCAGAAGTTAATGAACGTTGGTTGCAAAGAATTTAACGAAAGGAAGGTAGCATGGCTACACGTGAAAAGAAGAAATAAAAAAATGAGTTGACATTTCTTTCACTTTCTTACTACATGAAGGGATAAATAATATCACAGACATCAATTAAGCAATTATATTTTTATAATTTTTTCTTCTTCATAATTTTAAGCTATCAATATATATCCCCGCAAGCTTAAGCATTCATCAAAAGACATCATAAGAAAGAAGAAAAAAAACTGATCTATGAATTTAATGAAAGGTTTTTGGAGGAGAGAGGAAAAAAGTGGAGAAGAACTAGTTAAAATTAGTGTGCCTATGGCGACTACAAGAGCATCTATAATGGGAGTTGCTTATAAGCAACTCCCAATCACTCCCAATCACTTTAAATGGGTCCTACTGTGCCACGTCACTCATAAGCAACTCATACTATATTTTTATAATTTTTGCTCTAATGGAAATTGCTTATAAGCACTCCTACTTTTTACAACTTATACTACACTTTTTGACACCTCACACTACATTTTATAAAATTTGGTACAGTTAATAAGAGTTAAGCAACGTTGCTTGCTGAAGCTCTGTTGCTAAAAAATAAGCAACTTTCTATGCCAGCTAGGACTACTCCAATGGGAAGTGCTTCTAAGCACTGGAGCTTATTTTTAAGAGACAGCATAAGCACCTCGTGTTGGAGGTGCTCTAATATTAAAGATTATCTTATCTTATGATTCTACAAATCGCTTTCACATTAACTTTTTTGTTTATATTATTATTCAATATTCAAAAAAATTTGTTAGAATTTAATCTTTGTTATCGCAAAATCATATATTGCTTAAGGTAAAATAGGCCACAGTATTTTATGTTTATTCTCTTTTCGTTTTGAGGTTACACAATTTATTGTTTTTTAGAAGATACTGATAGATTAGACATTTTTTTTCAAATTTGAAAAAAGGTTCATATCCTTGGCTCAACTTCGATATAACGTACTTTCTGAAAAAAATTAATTTACAAACACTATATATATATATATATATATATATATATATATCTTTAGAAATGATGAGTTACATATTTATTTTTTCTAGCACATTCTTTTTTATTAGTATTATATTGGATAGTGACATAATGTATTGCTTGTCGTCAACAATATCAAATATTTCATTAACACTAGTTTTTTTATTATATATAAACCTGATTTATGCAATATTTCAAAATTGATAATTAAATATTAATTTGTATTCATGGTCAATATTATAAATAACATTACTGATTTAGTTTAATAAAATTTAAATTAATCAAATAAATTAAAAGTTTAACTTAAAATCTTTGTCCACTAGACATATAATTGTGTAATGTAAATTATTATATTTAATATTAGATAACTCTGTAACCCCAAAAAATAATTCCACTCAAACAAGTGCCTGACTATTTGTCATATATGCATTTTGATTATTTGCATTTGTGGATAAGAGTCCGAAAGTATATTTTATAGATAAGATCATCCAGTTAGAAAATATTTTTAGTATGATTTGAATATAGTCAATGGGTTAAAATTATTTTTTTATCTTTAAAATAAGAATCCTAGCAGAGCTTAAACTCATAATTTAGAAAATGATCAAAGGTCCTTTCATTATGGAATCCAAAAGGATTAATACAAATTTAGTTTATGGGTTTGCTTCATTTTGGAGTAAATAAAAGAAAATTAAAATCTCCAAATGACATGTAAAACTAGTAAGTCTAGTGGTTACAAGATGACATTCTAAGCTTGTAGCCCTAGGTAGGGATGGTAATGGGGCCCATGGGGGCGGGTAATAGTAAATTCGTCCCCGCCCATTGGATGGAAATTGGCCCC